TTTCTCTCTCTCTCTCTCTCTCTCTCTCTCTCTCTCTCTCTCTCTCTCTGTCTCTCTCTCTGTCTCTGTGTGTGTGTCTCATGAATGAATGAATGAATGAATGAATGAATAAATAAATAAATAAAATCCTAAAAAAAAAGAAAAGAGTAGAATTCTAGAGGTAGATTGCCTAGTAATTATCTCATAGTCTTCTGGTGATACTTAAATAGCTGTTATGTATAACGTTTTTACAATGCCTGACTTAAAAAGAAAACTGTTCTTTTTAAGTGTTAGTTATTACCTGTTATCACCACCACCACCTTCTCACCATCACCACCATTATTATTATTTTTTGTTATTGTTACATTGTTATTTTAGGGATTCTGTGGTTTTTATTCCTACAAAATGGAGAGGTGGTTTTGTTTTTGTGTTTGTTTCTGTTTTTGCAGGTAGTCTGAGTATATTTAATGGAGTATTTTTTTCTTTTTGAAAGATTTTATTTATTCATGAGAGACACACAAAGGGGGAGAGAAAGAAGAGGGGGAGCAGGGCAGAAACACAGGCAGAGGGAGAAGCAGACTCTTTGCAGGGAGCCTGATGCAGGACTTGATCCCAGGACCCCCGGGATCACGCCCTGAGCCAAAGGTAGATGCTTAACCACTGAACCACCCAGGTGTCCCAGTAAAATCTTAAAAAAATAAAAAAAAAAAGAAAGAAATTGCATAATTAATACCGAAATGCCATGATATGACACCACCTGGGTGATCAGCTTTTACATCTTCACATCAGGTGAGAACATGATTTTGAATCTCAACCAAAGTGAGGATGTATAACAGCAGCTTTCAAAAAAAAGAAAAAAAAAACAGCTTTCAGTAGGGTTCATGTTATCCATCATGTTGCTAGGTAAACAAACTAAAAGAGAAGTAGTCTTGTATATACACCTTCTCCCACATACCCCCACACAGCATCTTTGGGTTTATTCTGTGCTTACCCAGCTAGTTTGTACATAACTGTGTCTATTTCAGGTCTTCCTTGCTGATGGAAACTTGCCCAAAGGAGACAGTTTTACTGTCCACTGTCTTTCATTTCGTCAGTTCTTTTTTTTTTTTTTTTTTTTTTTTTTTTTTTTTTTTTTTACGATAGAGAGAGAGAGAGAGAGGCAGAGACACAGGCAGAGGGAGAAGCAGGCTCCATGCACCGGGAGCCTGACGTGGGATTCGATCCCGGGTCTCCAGGATCGCGCTCCGGGCCAAAGGCAGGCGCCAAACCGCTGCGCCACCCAGGGATCCCTCGTCAGTTCTTTTCTTTATGGAATGTTTATTCCTCCTCTTTAGAAGTGAATAGGCATCCTTTTCCTCCCCTCCAACTCAACACTCTGTTTAGACACCTGGGTAATTGAAACAGAACATAGCTTAGGGAAAAGTAGTTAATGAGGATTTTACCAAGTTTAGTAGCTTTTGCACCTGAGTATATTGTGAAAAGTTTTGGCTAGCAAAGAATAGTGGATTCCTATAATAGCGTGACTACATTTAAATTATATGACTGGTATTGTTAGTTTAACTTAATTTCTTTCTTAAATTCTGATGATGGGGGAGAAAGAAGGGTGGTTATCTTTATGATGCATGTAAGCGCTATTTGTATTTTAGGTGGGCTGTTTTCTTATATGTAAAACTTGGTTGATTCTGTGAAATTTCATTTTAAATAATGGCTCTTGTACTGTCCTTTCTTGACAAGAAAGTCTAATTGGCAGTGTAATTATACCAAAGAAAAGATTAAAGTTTATATGTTAGCAACTGGAATGACATGCATAGCTGGTTAAACATGTAAACCAGGGCATTGCATTCTCTTTGTATATGGAGTATTAGATTTTTAAGTGGGAAAATTCTTTTTAGTGATTGTGAATTTAACCTAAGTATTGATCCATATGAGATTCTAATAGTAGTGTCTGATTAAAGGAAGACAAGTGATTTTTACCTGAGATGGTCTTTTCTCTGATAGTAGCTTTTGTACTTTTAATGGCACGGAAAAGACTGGAGCCCATTTCAGACATTTTAGTGGCTTTACCTGTATGATTATTTCTTTTTTAAAAAATAAAAATCTAAGCCTTACACAGTATTTACAGTACTTTATTCTGAATTTACCAGATCTTTTTGCATAGCTTGTTTGTTCTGCTTGTGGAATTCTCATTGACTCTAGAGAAGATGTTTCTTTCCCTATAGAATCAGACAGTTCCTTAACGAGTTTATACTAAATTGATAAAAGCAGAAAGTTATCTGAACATTGTATCTAGGCTTCTTCTGTTTTGATTTTTGTTTTATTTCACATTTTTATTTAAATTCTGGTTAGTTAACATATAGTGTAATATTATTTTCAGGTGCAGAATTTAGTAATTCATCACTTACAGCACACTGCCCTCCTTAATATCCATTTCCCATTTAGCTCATCCTCCCACCTGCCTCCTCCCTGGTAACCATCAGTTTGTTCTCTATAGTTAAGAGTCTCTTTTATGGTTTGTCTCTTTTTTTCCTTTCCCTTATAGCCATCTGTTTTGTTTCTTAAATTTCACATATGAGTGAAATCATATGGTACTTGTCTTTCTCTGACTTATTTTCTCTTGGCTTAGTACCCTCTCATTCCATCCAAGTTGTTGTAAATGGCAAGATTTCATTCTTTTTGATGGCTGAATAATATTCCTCTCGTGTGTCGTCTTTTTTTTAAGATTATTTATTTATTTATTAGACAGAGAGGTATAGAAAGAGAGAGAGAAACAGGCAGAGGGAGAAGCAGTCTCCATGCAGGGAGCCTGACATGGGACTCGATCCCGGGTCTCCAGGATCACGCCCTGGGTGGAAGGCAGCGCTAAACCACTAAGCCACCGGGGCTACCCTCCACATCTTCTTTATCCATTCATCGGTTGGATGGACATTTGGGCTTCTTCCATAATTTGGCTACTTAAAATGCTTATAAACTTATAATACTTATAAACATTGGGGTGCAGGTGCCCCTTTGAATCAGTATTTTTGTATCCTTTGGGTAAATACCTACTAGTGCAGTTGTTGGGTTGTAGGGTAGTTCTATTTTTAACTTTTTGAGGAACTTCCATACTCTTCTCCAAAGTGTCTGCATCAGTTTGCATTCCTACCAATAATGTAAGAGAGTTTCCCTTTCTCTGCATCCTTACCAACATCTGTTGTTCTAGTGTTAATTTTAGCCATTTTGACCAGTGTGAGGTTGGTATCTTATTGTAGTTTTGATTTGTATTTCTCTGATGATGAGTGATATTGAGCATCTTTTTATGTGTCTGTTAGCCAATATTTAGGCTTCTTTTGTAGTTCAATTCTTTTCAGGAGTTTATGTGTATGCCTAAATACAGTTTTTAAAAGTGCAAGCATCTATATTATTCATTTACTGATTAGTGAAGCAATATTTATTATATACCTATTGTGTGCCAGATATGAAGATAGAAAACAGGGAGGGGCAGGATCCAGTCCCCTTGTGGAGATATGAATCAAACAAAGAATTACAATATGATCAGGGATTAGTGTTATAATGTGTATATAGATTGGATAAATAGTAATAAAGGTGATAAACATATAGATAGATGAAGGAATGGAGAGTGTGTATGTATGTATATATAACGTGTATTGTGATAGAGTACAAAGAGCATTTTGTTCTCATGGAGCAAGAAAATCTTTTCAAAGGAGATGACATTTATGTTGCTTTTTGAAAGCCATGTAAAATGTACTAATTAGCTTTAGTATTAGCTCAAGGGGAGACTATTCTGTTTGAGTTTTCTCTATAGAACTTATTACCATCCTACATACTGTTTATTTCATTCATTCGTTGTCTTCTGTATTAGGATGTAATCTCTTTGAGGATAGGGATTTTTATCTGTTTTGATTACTTCTATATTCTCAACACCTAGAAAAGTTTCTGACATATAGCAAGAGCTCAAGTATGTGTTGAGTGAGCGAATGAAGTTTGTGAGTTCTACAGTAATTGCCTTATTTTCTTTTCATTTATTAAGACTATCTTTCTCTAGTTCCTTCATATTTTTTGCTCAATATTTTTCATTATGTGTACTTTGAATCTCCCAGATAACATGCTATCTTTATAATGTTTCTCAGACCCATCCCCTCTTTTCCATCTCTCTTAGCTCATTTAATCTTCAGTATCACTTACCTGAATTTATAAGCTCTAATTATTTTCCGTGTCTCTATGCAAGTCCCCTTAAATTTTTTCTCCACAGCCATCAGAATTACCTATCTAAAATACTGACCAGACCATTTCTTAGCTTAAATACCTAATGGTTCCCATGTGTCTAGAATAAAATCTGTGCTCTTTAGATCATACATGGGGCCATCCATAGCTTGGATTCAGCTACATAATGGTAAGTTCTCTTATCTTATAACATAATAGAAATCGGTGTATTCATTTTTCTTTGTACCACTAGTGCCTGGTAATAAAGAATTGAGTAAATACTTCTTTGAGTAAATGAATGCATACAAATGTGTATGAAGAAATGAATGACTGCAATAAGGAATTTCATTGAAAAATGATTTCTGCTTAGATAAAAGGTGATATAAAATATATTTTAAACAAGCATTTAAGAATAATTTTTCTTTATACAGCTTATTTGTCTTTCTTACTGTCTTGTTATTCTAATCCTCAATTCACTGTGAAGTGATTTACAGTGTCATTATTGAGGTAATCCCATTTCTCATGTCTTTCCTCTCTCAATCTCATCTCTATATGTTGAGTCTTTTCTCTCTAGCTGTTTTCCTTATTTTTTTAGAGATTTATTTACGCACACATGTCCATAGCTATATGTGTGTCTTTTCTCTGTTCTGGCTATAAATTCTGGCTTTAAAATTTTGCAATGAAGTTATGAAGCCTTTAGCACTAAATTTCTATGAAACACACACTCAGAGACAACCCTAATCTACTTGTTTCCAACTAAAAATGATTTTTATTGTGATTATATGTATTTCTGTTAATTTCGTTTTTTCCTCCACACTCAGATTGAAAATCTTCAAGAGCAACTTAGAGATAAGGAAAAGCAAATGAGCAGCTTGAAAGAACGAGTCAAATCCTTGCAGGCTGACACTACCAACACTGACACTGCCTTGACGACTTTGGAGGAGGCCCTTGCAGAGAAAGTGAGTGATTTCTCAGAATTCTCAGATTCTCAGTGATTTCTCAGATTCCTCAAAGAGGAAGATTGGCCTCTTCCTAGACACATTTCCTCTGCTTTCTCATTAATCTAAAATTTTCTCTGGCAATGAGACTTGGATATAAAAGGCAAAAGGAATCTCTTAGGGCAAAAGAGAAAAGAGCTTTCTGTACTATTTCTGACATAGTATAAGAGGATAGAAAATTCATTTTGTTTTTATTTTGTTTTTGTCCTTGTAAGCATCTGTTGTTAGGCAAGATGGATTCCACACTAGAGGGTAGTGGCTGAAAGTTTTCCTTTTCTCCTTTCCTTTCCTTTTTCCTTTCTTTTCTATTCTTTTCTTTTTTAAAGATTTAGAGAGAGGGTAGGGACGGCAGAGGGAAAGGGGGAGAGAAACTCAAGCGGACTCGACACTGAGCTCGGAGCCCAACCTAGGGCTCGATCTCACCACCCTGAGATTGTGACCGAGCCAAAACCAAGAGTCAGTCAGTTAACCAACTCTACCACCCAAGCACCTCCAGTGGCTAAAATTTTTAAAGATTAAGCCATATGTTCTCATTTACTATCTTCTGAAGAAAAAGAAAAGTTCTTTTTATTTATCTTATCAACTAGAATTTGAGGATATGGGAATATCAGACATTGACCACCAGGAAGCAATATATAATTAGTTCTTCTTTACTGTACCATATTGGTACCTAGTATAGTCCTGGGGTTTAGTTATTAACATAATATACTTGGTATTTTTCTATTCTTGGCCTTGCTACTTCATTTTGTGTTTATGAGCAAACCTGATTTTTAGGAGTGGTTAACTAAATAAGTGGCCCAGTTGGATAGGTGTTAATGTCTTGAAAGGAAGTTTAAGGAATTTTGGTGGGGCATTTTAATTGGATTTTTTAAAGGAACAGGATGACTGTTCCTTAAGCCTCTTGGACTCACAATACTATCGGCTATGTGCCAGGGATCAAGGCTTGATCCCTGAATATAGTCAGAAATAATACCCAGAAATGTACCTGAATTGGTTAAACTTTTAGACTGCCTGAGTATCTGTTGACAGAAATTTTAATGGGTTCTCTCCCCCTCTCCTTTTTATGCTTTAAACTCAGCATATCATAATCTCTCAAATCTCCTCCATTTTTGGTGTGTGAATTGTTTTCCATTGCCTTGTGGGCAACATGTGAATTATGTATAAAAAAGAAATATCTGTTACTGCCCTTAGAGCTGTGTGTGTGTGTGTGTGTGTGTGTGTGTTTGTGTGTGTGTGTAAAGTTTCTGGATACTTGGAATAAATGTAATTTTTCCAATAGAATAAGGACTTTCAGTTCTATCTGAGATTATAGGAAAAGAAAACTAGAGGAATCAGAAGAACAAAGCCACATCTTTGTTATTGCAAGAGTGGTAGGAAAGATGAATTCCGTGAAAAGTAGATTATTAACAACCTACCACTGTCTTTTGAATGGAGCATGAAAGTGTGAAATTTTATCAGTGAAAAGCTGAATTAGTCATATGAGATAAGTATGAAAGGAATTTTCTTACATATTGATGTGCTCTCTCATCAGGAGCGGACAATTGAACGCTTAAAGGAGCAGCGAGACAGAGATGAGAGAGAGAAGCAAGAGGAAATTGATAACTACAAAAAAGATCTTAAAGACTTGAAAGAAAAAGTCAGCTTATTGCAAGGCGACCTCTCAGAAAAAGAGGTTAAGATTACCAAAATAGAATGATTTGGTTTGCTTAGTGCATTGTATGTATATGTTGTTGGTGGTGTTTACATAATGCTTATAAAAATGTATTTGACCGAGATTTTCTTAATAGCAGGCTTTTTTAGAAGACCTCAAGGGGTATTTTGGGAAGCTTTGCAGAAATGTAGTAGATCATTCATTTCCTAAGTCTTTAGCTCTTTCAATATGTTATGAGTTGATTTATTACTTGTTAATGACATTCTCATAGATCCTAAAATAAGTGAAGCAGTTTTAAATGGAAAAATACAGTGCTAATGGTAAGAAAGGTGATAGATGAAAAGAATATGCAAATGGAAGCTAGCTTATTTATACTAGCTCTTTTTTTTTTTAAGATTTTATTTATTTATTCATGAGAGACACACAGAGAGAGGCAGAGACATAGACAGAGGGAGAAGCAGGCTCCTCACAGAGCCCGATGTGGGACTTGATCCTCAGATCCAGGATTATACCCTGAGCCCAAGGCAGATGCTCAACCGCTGAGCCACCCCAGTATCCCTACACTAGCTCTTAAAATGCATTTCAATATTGGCAGAGAAATCTTAAAGTAATTGCTGACCAACTAGATGACTTAGTATACTTTGGTCTTGCTTTTGGAATATCCTGTTAATGTGACCTAAACAGTAAAAATACCTAATGCCTTGTGATCATGTAATAATACCTGAGCTTTAGGGACACTCAGATTTTCTTTTTAATATCTTTAAGACAATATGTGGAAATTTAAGTTTCTAGTCAACTTTCCTTTTAAAAGGGAAAAGTATTTTGTATTTAAGTCAGTGTAGCTACTACGGTAATAAGTAGTGACTACTACTGCTAGTGACTACTTATATTCACAAAGCTTGATCTACTTCCATTTATTTTATGGAAATGGATATGTATTGATAGAACTCTTTAAATTATAATTCAATTGATATTCCTTGGGAATTCAACTTTCATAGGACCTTGAAAGCTAAAGCTGGCATTGTTTTGTATTTCATGTATGTTCTTGAGATGGAAATGTTAGCTAATAGTAATAAACAGAAACTACAAGCCACCAAGATAATAAATTTTAACATTTACATTTCCACTTTGTTTGTAGTTAGTATTTATTCTACATGTGTGTGACTTTTTTCAGGCTTCACTCTTGGATCTGAAAGAGCATGCTTCTTCCCTGGCTTCCTCAGGACTCAAAAAGGACTCACGGCTTAAGACACTGGAAATTGCTTTGGAACAGAAGAAGGAGGAGTGTCTGAAAATGGAATCACATTTGAAAAAGGTTAAAGAAAAATTTCCCACTTTTCTTACTTTGCTTTAGATAAGAATATAGTAGAGCTCTATAGTGCTCATTGTGTAATAAATTACCAATGATGTAATAATCCCTGAAGTTCAAAATATCATTTGTACCTTCATCAGTTCTCTTAATGTTCTTGTCCTATTTTATCTTGCTACTGAGAATTCTTAAGCTCTTAGAAAATTGACAGATCAGAGGAAGATGAAAAAATGCAGCTCCTTTATGGACAAACTGTATAAGAATACAGTGTAGAAATCTTAATTATGTGATATTTTCCTTTCATTAATATTGAGCTTCCTTAAGATAACTTAACAGTGATAGTCACCTATACTGGTGAATATTAGGATATGGTATGGATATTTATTTTCCATTTCTTTGATTTATTTCCCTCTAAGATTTATATGGCAGTTTGTAGTTTTCAAAAACACTATCATATTTATAATCTCTGAGCTACCAACTCGGTGAGAATTGGAGCTATGACTTTTGAGCAGTTACATTAACTGAGTTCATTTCATATTGATGACTAATGAGATAGCGTATGGCCTCGTCTTGACACTTTAAATCTCATTCTCTTTCCATATATTGTTTTTTTTTTTAATATTTTATTTACTTATTCAACCAGGAAGGTTGGGGGGGAGAGAGAGAGCACATGAGCATATACGCGTGAACATGTGCACAAGCAGGGGGAGCAGTGGAGGGAGAGGGAGAAGCAGCAGGGTCTCTGCTGAGCAGGAATCCCAATGCAGGGCTCAATCCCAGTACTCCAAGATCATGACCTTAGCTAAAGACAGACACTTAACTGACTGAGCCACCCAGGCACCCCTTATTTTTGATCTCTTTGTTACATACATACTCTCTTATATCTTGGGCTTTATATTTAGGTTTATGAGAAAAAATAAAGTTATCTTTGGGTAGAGGAGGTTGAGGGCTTTCCTCTACTGTTATTTCAATTATCTGTTTTACTAATGGACATTTTTCTCTTCATATTTTCCCTTGTTTCATTCTGGATTATTGTTTCTTTCATTTTAATTCATTACTGATGTTTTCCTGTATATTGCCTTCAACACCTAAATCCAAAAAGGAGGTTGTTACTGTAGTTTTCCATGTTTCATCTGTGTTTTGCTTTTTCTCCCCTCTTTTAATTGAGCATTTTATGTAATTCCATTTTCTCGTTCCTTTTAGCATATCAGTTATATTTGTTATAGTTTTCAAGTAATTGCCTTAGAGTTTGCTGTATACATTTTTTACTTGTCTCCCCAACTTTATGGAGATATAATTAACAAGTAATAATTGTATATATTTAAGGGGTACAAGATGATGATTTGTGTATACATTGTGGAATGATTACCACAGTCAAGCTAGTTAGCACATTCATTACCTCTCATAATTACCATTTTATTTTTTTGTGGTGAGAGCACTTTTTAAAATACACTCTTTCAGCAAATTTCAAGTATACAGGATAGTATTATTAAGTGTGGTCACTATCCTTTATGTTAGATCCCCAGAGCTTATTCATCTTATATGACTGAAAGTTTATACCCTTCCTTTGATTAGCATCTCTTCATTTCTCCACCCTCCAGCCCTTGACCCCCACCATTCTAAGTTCAGCTGTTTTAGATTCTGCATATAAGTGAGATCTTACAGTATTTATCTTTCTGTTTCTAGCTTGTTTCACTTAGCATAATGTACTCCATGTTCATCCATGTTGTCACAAATGGCAAGATTTCCTTTCTTTTTGTGATTAATATTTCAGTATACACAGACACACATACACATCATATTTCCTTTATCCATTCATCTGTTGTTGGGCAGTTTGATTCTTTCCATATATTGGGTCTTGTGAATAATGCTGCAATGAACATTAGAGTGTAGATATCTCTTTAAAATACTGATTTCATTTCTTTTGGATGTATATCCAGGAATGAGATTGCTGGATCATATAGTAGCTCCATGTAAGAATTTCTGAGGAAGCTTCTTACTGTTTACCATAATGGCTGTTTGAATTTGCATTCCCACCAGCAGGATAAAAAGGCTCCTTCATCTCTATACTCCTGCCAACTCTTATTTCTACTCTTTCTGATGATTGCCGTTCTAACAGGGGTTAGTTATCTCATGGTGGTTTTGATTTGCATTTCCTTGATGGTTAGTGATGTTGAGCTTCTTTTCGTGTAGCTGTTGGGAAAAACACTTCATTGTGTGTGTCTTCTTTGGAAGAGTATCTATTCAGGTCCTTTCCCTGTTTTAATAGGATTATTTGTGTTTGTGCTATCAAGTTGTGTGATTCCTTACATATTTTGAATATTAATCTGTTGTTAGCTATAAGGTTTACAAATACTGTCATCTATTCTGTAGGTTGCCTTTTCATTTTGTTGATAATTTTCTTTGTTGTATAGAAGCTTTTTAGTTTGATGTAGTCTACCTGTTTTTGCTTTTGTTGCCTATGCTTTTGGTGTCATATCAAAAAATCATGTAGTAAGTATTTTTAAACTAAATTCACTTTCAAAAAATGTTATCCCACTTTATGTATCATGCAGGTACCATACAACAGAATCCTCCCAATTCCTTCCTCTCTTCCCTGATGACATTGTTATCATTCATTTCACTTATCCATATCTGATAATCACCCAGTACATTACTGTTATTACTTTAAAGTGTTATCTTTTAAATGAAGAAGAATAATAAAAGATGTAATTTTAGCTTCATTCCTTCTCTAGTTCTCTTTATGTAAATGTGAATTTCTGACCTATATAATTTGCTTCTGCCTGAAGAACTTTTTTTTTTTTTGAGAGAGAGCATGAGCAGGGGCAAGTGAAAGGGGCAGATGAGAGACAGAATCTGAAGCAGGCTCCACTCCCAGCACGTGGTTTGGTCTCACATCCCTGAGATCATGACCTGAGCTGAAATCAAGAGTTGTACGCTTACTTGACTGAGCTGTTCAGGTGCCCACTGAAGAACTTCTTTTAATATATTTTTGCAGGATAGGTCTCCTGGCTATGAATTTCTCAGTTTTTGTTTAAGATTAAAGTCTTTATTTCTTGTTCACTTTTGAAAGATAATAACACTGGGTATGGATTTCTAGATTGATGAGATTATTTTCTCTGTAACGCTTTAAATGTTTTACTCAGCTGTCTCCTTTTTTGACTTCTGATGAGAAGTTACTGTAGTTCTTAACATTATTCTATAGGTAAGGTGTTTTTTCCCCTCTGGCTTCCCTTAAACTTTTTTTTTTGTCTTTCATTTTCTATAGTTTTAATATGATGTGCCTATGTATGGATGTTTAAAATTTGTATTTCCTGGTGTTCTGAGCTCTTTGATTTGGTGTGTATCATTAACATTGGAAAATTTTCAGCCATTATTACTTATAATATTTCTTCTCCTTTCCTTTCCTGTTGGTATTCCAATTATATGTATGTTGCACCTTTTGAAATTGCTCCATGTTCTGTACTGTTCTTTTTAATATTTTTTTTCTCTTTTCATTTTGGGAAGTTTTTTTTTAAAGATTTTATTTATTTATTTTGGTATGGGAGAGAGAGAGCACAAGCAGAGAGGGAAGGGGCAGAGGGAGAGGGAGAAGCAGACTCCTTGCTGAGCAGGGAGCCCGATGCGGGGCTTGATCTCAGAACCCTGAGATCATGACCTGAGTCAAAGGCAGATGCTCACCCAGGTGCCCCCATTTTGTTAAGTTTCTATTGACCTGTCTTTAAGCTTACTGATTATTTCTTCAGCCACATCTGGTCTATTAATGAGTCCATCAAAAGCATTAATTATTTTTTTAAGCATTAATTATTCTTACATGTTTTTTACACCTAGAATTTCCTTTTGATTCTCTCTTAAAATGTCCACCTCTCTGACTATATCACCCATCTGTTCTTGGGTATTGTCCCCTTTTCCCATTAGGGACCTTAAATATTAATCAGTTATTTTAAATTCCCTGACTGATTAATTCCAACATCAATGTCAGATATCTGAGTCTAATTTTGATGCTTGCTATGTCTCTTCTTCTCTTCAGACTGTGTCTTTTCTTGCTTTTTAGCATATTTTGTATTTTTTTTTTTGTTGAAAGGCAGATATGTTGTATCAGATAGCAGGTAAATAGGTGTATATGTGAGGTTTTAATCTGGCTAGAAGTTGAGCTGTATTTAATGTTTGCTGTAGCTGTAGGTGCCAGAGGCTTCAAATTCCTCTAGTGTTCTATGTTGACTTTGGGTTTTTCTCTTCAGAGAGAGTCTGCATCCTGTAGCTTTTTCAGCTGTTATCCTTTGTTATTTTACTGGAGCCCTATTGGTGTGGTAGTAAGGTGTGAATGAAGATAAACTTTCTATAGTCTAGTGATTAAGTCTTGGTCTTTTATGAGCCTGTGTCCTTGGCTGTGATCTTCACAAAGGCTTTTCCCCTTAGCTAGCAGGGGCTAGAATAGGAGAAATCCCTATCTGTCAGGTGGGATAAAATTCTGTTAAAATATTTATTCCTGGAGAATCTGCCTTTGGGGAGAGTATACTTTGGGCATATTTCACAATTACTACCCTCGCCCCCCACCCTTGCAAGAACCACAAGGGGTTTTTGTCAGTTCTTCACTGTCAGAATCTGGTGGGGTTCCTCAGGGGAAAGCCTGTAAAAGTAAGGTGGGTCTGCCCAAAACTGCAGCTTCTAAGACTTTTTCACTTTCATGTTTGTCCACATTCAGCCTCTAGTAACTCCTCAAAGTCACCATTGTTTTTCCCAACAGCTTTGCTCCAGGTGGGTAGATCTCAACTATGACTCTCTGGATTTGTCTGTGTCTCTTCATTTTGGAGTTGTAGTTTGCCTTTTGACCTCAGTTCTCCCATAGGTCCAAGAAAAGTAGTTGATTTTCAGTTTTTTAACTTGTTTTTTTTTTTTTTTTTAACTTGTTCTTGTTTTAAGAATGGGTCATGATTTCCAGACTTTTTACATGTTGGAGCTGAAGTTATAGCAGTTTTCCATTTGGAACAAACCTATGCATTCTT